AAAGGCCGGGCGTGGTGGCTCACACCTGTAATCCCAGCACTTTGGGAGGCTGAGGCAGGTGGATCACGAGGTCAGGAGATTGAAACCATCCTGGCTAACACAGTAAAAACCCCGTCTCTACTGAAAATGCAAAAACGTTAGCCGGGCGTGGCCGCGGGTACCTGTAGTCCCAGCTACTCAGGAGGCTGAGGCAGGAGAATGGCATGAACCCAGGAGGTGGAGCTTGCAGTGAGCCGAGATCGCGCTACTGTACTCCAGCTTGGGCGAAAGAGTCAGACTCCGTCTCAAAAAAAAAAAAAAAAGAGAGAGAGAGGAAAGAAATTTCTTGGTTTGCATCTCACTCACCCTTTCTCAAGCCCCATGTTGCACGCCAAACTGTTGTAGGACTTTCTCCTTAGTTCAGCTAAAAGCCAGGTTCTTGTCCCACGGCCATCAGAGATTAATCTCGCAGACACTTTGAAGGGTGAGAAAAATGTAATTTATTGGGCAAGAGGGAAAAAAGGGGAAACAGGGACTCTCAGCAAAGCAAGAGAGAGTGCCGCTAGCTGGTTTCTCGCCTCACAGACAAAATCCCAGATTCCACCCAGAACAGGAGGCCAAGCTCCTCCCCCAGCAAAGAGTGGGAGCTTCTGTGGCTCCACCCAGTTCTTCCGGTGCTTCCGCAGGTGGGAGTTTCTCTGGGACCCCTTTATACTTGGCTGTCTCACTTGGATTACAGGTGTAGGCCACAGTGGCCAGCTGACTCACTTTTTTTTTTTTTCCTTAAAAAAATTGTTGGCCTGGCCAAGCGCAGTGGCTCACGCCTGTAATCCCAGCACTTTGGGACGCCGAGGCGGGGTGATCACGAGGTCAGGAGATCGAGACCATCCTGGCTAACATGGTGAAACCCCCTCTCTACTAAAAATACAAAAAATTAGCCTGGCATGGTGGCGGGGCCTGTAGTCCCAGCTACTCAGGAGGCTGAGGCAGGAGAATGGTGTGAACCCAGGTGGCGGAGCTTGCAGTGAGCCAAGATAGCGCCACTGGGCTCCAGCCTGGGTGACAGAGCAAGCCTCCATGTCAAAAAAAAAAAATTGTTGGCCCGCAGACACATGAAAAAATGTTCATCGGCCGGGCGCGGTGGCTCAAGCCTGTAATCCCAGCACTTTGGGAGGCCGAGTCGGGCGGATCACGAGGTCAGGAGATCGAGACCATCCTGGCTAAACCGGTGAAACCCCGTCTCTACTAAAAAATACAAAAAACTAGCCGGGCGAGGTGGCGGGCGCCTGTAGTCCCAGCTACTCGGGAAGCTGAGGCAGGAGAATGGCGTAAACCCGGGAGGCGGAGCTTGCAGTGAGCTGAGATCCGGCCACTGCACTCCAGCCTGGGCGACAGAGCAAGACTCCGTCTCAAAAAAAATAAAAAAAATAAAAAAAAATAAAAATGTTCATCATCACTCGCCATCAGAGAAATGCAAATCAAAACTACAATGAGATACCATCTCACACCAGTTCGAATGGCTATCATTAAAAAGTCAGGAAACAACAGGTGCTGGAGAGGATAAGGAGAAATAGGAACACTTTTACACTGTCGGTGGGACTGTAAACTAGTTCAACCATTGTGGAAGACGGTGTGGCAATTCCTCAATGATCTAGAACTAGAAATACCATTTGACCCAACCATCCCATTACTGGGTATATACCCAAGGGATTATAAATAATGCAGGTATAAAGACACATGCACACATATGTTTATTGTGGCACTATTCACAACAGCAAAAACTTGGAACCAACCCTAATGTCCATCAGTGATAGACTGGATTAAGAAAATGTGGCACATATACACCATGGAATACTATGCAGCCATAAAAAAGGATGAGTTCATGCCCTTTGTAGGGACATAGATGAAGCTGGAAAACGTCATTCTGAGCAAACTATCATAAGGACAGAAAACCAAACACCACATGTTCTCACTCTTAGGTGGGAGTTGAACAATGAGAACACTTGGACACAGGGTGGGGAACATCACACACCGGGGCTTGTCCTGGGGTGGGGGAAGGGGGGAGGGATAGCATTAGGAGATACACCTAATGTAAATGATGAGTTAATGGGTGCAGCACACCACATGGCACATGTATACATACATAACAAACCTGCATGTTGTACACATGTACCCTAGAACTTAAAGTATAATAAAAAATAAAAATAAATTAAAATTAAAAAAAAAAATTGTTGGCCCGGCGCGCTGGCTCATGCCTGTAATCCCAGCACTCTGGGAGACTGAGGCAGGCGGATCACCTGAGGTCAGGAGTTGGAGACCAACCTGGCCAACATGGTGAAACCCCATCTCTACTAAAAATGCAAAAATTAGGTTGGGCGCCCCTGGTGGCTCACACCTGTAATCCCAGCACTTTGGGAGGCTGAGGCAGGCGGATCACCTGAGGTCAGGAGTTCAAGACCAGTCTGACCAACATGGTGAAAGCCTGTCTCTGCTAAAAATACAAAAATTAGCTGGGCATGGTGGCACATGCCTGTAATCCCAGCTACTCAGGCAGGTGAGGCAGGAGAATCGCTTGAACTCAGGAGGCGGAGGTTGCAGTGAGCCAAGATTGCCTGACTGCACTCCAGCCTGGGCCACGGAGCAAGATTCTGTTTCAAAAAAAAAAAAAAAAAAAAAAAGGCCAGGCACGGTGGCTCATGCCTGTAATCCCAGTACTTTGGGAGGCCAATGTGGGTGGATCACGAGGTCAAGAGTTTGAGACCAGACTGACCAACATGGTGAAACCCCACCTCTACTAAAAATACAAACGGGCAGATCACGAGGTCAGGAGATCCAGACCATCCTGGCTAACACGGTGAAACCCCGTCTCTACTAAAAAGACAAAAAACTAGCCGGGCGAGGTGGCGGGTGCCTGTAGTCCCAGCTACTTGGGAGGCTGAGGCAGGAGAATGGCGGGAACCCGGGAGGCGGAGCTTGCAGTGAGCTGAGATCCGGCCACTGCACTCCAGCCTGGGCCACAGAGCGAGACTCCGTCTCAAAAAAAAAAAAAAAAAAAAATACAAAAAAATTAGCTGGGTGTGGTGGGGCGCGCCGGTAATCCCAGCTACTTAGGAGGATGAGGCAAGAGAATTCCTTGAACCTGGGAGGCAGAAGTTGCAGTGAGTTGAGATTGTGCCACTGCACTCCAGCCCGGGCAACAGAGCGAGACTCCATCTTTAAAAACAAAACAAAACAAAAAAGGCCGGGCGCGGTGGCTCACGCCTGTAATCCCAGCACTTTGGGAGGCTGAAGCAGGTGGATCACGAGGTCAGGAGATCGAGACCATCCTGGCTAACATGGTGAAACCCCGTCTCTACTAAAAAATACAAAACATTAGCCAGGTGTGGTGTCGGGCGCCTGTAGTCCCAGCTACTCGGGAGCCTGAGGCAGGAGAATGGCGTGAACCCGGGAGGCGGAGCTTGCAGTCAGCCTAGATCAGGCCACTGCACTCCAGCCTGGGCGACAAGGCAAGACTCTGTCTCAAAAATAAATAAATAAATAAATATTTTTAAAATTACAAAAAAAAAAATCCAAAAAAATTGTTTAAAACTTTTTAATTTTATAGAGATGAGGTGTCACTATGTTGCCCAGGTTGGTCTCGAACTGGTGAGCTCAAATGATCCTCCCGCCTTAGCCTCTCAAAATGCTGGGATTACAGGCATGAGCCACCACACCGGGCCTGGGTGACTAAGTTTTAACGTTAAGTAACTCATTAACAATTTCTAAGGCCCTTTATGCCACAGCCTAAGTGAAAAGCCATTATCCTTTGCCACACATAGAAGACACCTGTGAAAACACGAGTTTCCTCTAGAAGGCGCCTACAAGCCCCAGTCTCTAGTTCGGAAAGTTCCAGGAGCACTGAATGGGGAGCCCTGTCCTTTAACACTGGGCCTCAGGATCCAGCCCACCTCAGCCTCTGGCTCGGCCACCCACTTCTTGGCATCAATCTCTCTGTGGGAGAATTGTCCAGACCCGTAGAAGCTCCCGATTCCACCCAGCCCCAGGTGTGGGCCGGGGCTGGACTAGGAAGACAAAGCTGCATTCACTCCCAATCTGAGTCCAGCCCCTCAGGCCTACCCTGAGCGGGCGGGGCAGAGGTCCCTGCAGCCTCCACCCGGAACCGGGCCCCTAGGACTGGGAGGTCCAAGCTGGGAGCGGGCCAGGCGCTGCCCAAAGTCTTAAAAAAAAAAAAAAAAAAAAAAGCCGGGCGCCTGTAATCCCGGCTACTCCGGAGGCTGAGATCGCAGTGAGCCGAGATCGCTCCATTGCATTCCAGCCTGGGCGACAGAGCGAGACTCTGTCTCAAAAAAAAAAAACCACAAAAATCCGAATGAAGGCGTGGGCCCCTATCAAGAGCCGGCTGGGCTGCGCGGGGCGAGGTGGCCGCTGCACCACCGGGAGCAGGGCCCGTTGCTCCCGTAAGCGGCGCGCTTGGGCCGCCACTGTCCCGGGAAGCCGGTCCGGTTCTGGGCTGGTCATTCCTTTGCACCCACAAGCATTGGCCCTGATTCCCCCTAGAACGGCCCATTGTTCCCGCCTCCTGGGCCCCTGCGCGTCTCAGTCCCGCGCCCCAGAGGAAGCTCCTGAGCGGGAAAGCGCCCTGGGCGGCGCCAAAGGCAACGGTGGCTCCCGGCTCCAAGCGCCCAGTCCCCCGCGCCACCCAGAGCCCCTCACGCTCGGGAAACAGCCCAGAGAACGTGCGAGTGGGGTCGGGGTCCGCGCGCGGAGGAGACGTTGCCAAGAAGAGTACCTGGGCCCGGGAGCGCCGCCCCCGCCGCCCGCACCGGCTGCGGTCGACCCACACTCCCACGCCGGCCTTACCTGAGGGCGACTCACACAAGCCCAAGCGGGGCTGCGGGAGCCGGTCGGGATCGCGGGCGCCGGCCCCCACTCCGCCCCCTCGCGGCGCCGGCGGCGGCGGTGCTGCGGCCCCTTTAAATCCGGGCCGCCCCGCCCTGCGCCGTCGACTCCGCGGCGGCCCCAGATCCAGGCCCCAGATCCAGGCCGGGCCGCGGCTCTCGCCGCCCAGCCCAGCCCAGCCCGGCCTGGCCCGGCCCTGCCCTGCCGCGGAGGCGAGGCCGCCAGTGTCCCGCGCCCCTGATACCTGCAGTGAGCCTGATATCTGCCTCTGCTCCTCTGAGTCTGTTCCTTTTCCCTGAGTACAGGGCACAAAGCTTGCGCCCTGAGGAGCGGCAGGCGCGCTCCCCGGCCCGGTCCCCGCCCGGCCCCGGGCCCCCCGCCCCTCCCCGCCCCGGGGCCGGGGCCCCTGCAGCCGCCGCCTTCCGACCCCTGCGCCCCGACCCCGGTTCCCCGGGCCATGCAGCCTCGGCCCCGCGGGCGCCCGCCGCGCATCGGAGGAGATGAGGCTCCGCAATGGCACCTTCCTGACGCTGCTGCTCTTCTGCCTGTGCGCCTTCCTCTCGCTGTCCTGGTACGCGGCACTCAGCGGCCAGAAAGGTAAGCGCGACCCCCGCCCGGCCGGCCCGGCCCGCACCTGGCGCACCTGGGCGTCGGCGGCGGGAGCGGGCCCGGCGATGGCCGCGGGAGGCGGCCGGAAGCCGACGCAGGCGCCCCTTCCCCGCCCGGGCGGCGCGGAGGACGCCCCTCCCACCCTCCCCCACTTGTTTGCTGCTGGAGCCGCGGCGTCCTCCTCGGGCCCGGGCTGCGCCAGCCCGCCCAGCGCTGGCTGCGCCCGTGGGTGCCCCGGACCGGACTCCGCGGGCGCAGCTGAGCTGGGGACCCGTGGGGTTCTCGGAGAGGGGCACAGACCCAAGGTCACAGAGGTCCCGGAACGCCAGCTACAGCCACTTGGGCAGGACCTGGGCCGGCGTGAGGGACACAGGCGCGAGGGCACCGCTAGGCGGTCAGGCATCCCCCCACCCGCCCTCCCCCGACCCTGCCTTCCGCTGCCCCGCGCCGGCCTGGGCGACCCCGGCGTGACACCCGGTCCTGGGTCTCCGTCGCCGACCCCCGGGCGCCCGGAACGCCTCGGCAGCATCCGGCCTATGGGAGCGGGGGAGGGAGGGAGAGGCGTCCTGAGCCAGCCCGGCCACTGCTGCCCTGCGCTCCTGTGCGGCCCCAGCCCGTCCCCCGCACCCCGAGCTTCCCGGGCTGGCCCCCGCCCTCCGCGTCCGCCCAGCGCTCTTGCAGGCGGAGGGTGCAGACCGAACCCCCGCCCCCCGCCCCCCTGACCGGTCTTGGCGATGGTGGGGCCGAGTAGGGCCTGAGCCCTCCGAGGCGCTCTTCCCCTAGCCTGGAGGTTCCTGGAGAGTGGCCTCCTGCCTGCCTGCCTGCTGAAGGCCTAAGCGGACTGAGGCCACCTGCCCCCTTGGCCTCCCCGCCTCCTGCTTCCCTGTTTCCCTGTCCCGGAGCGCCACCCCAGAGAGGCTGAGGAGGCTGGGAGGACCTGGACCCTTCCAGAACCTCCGAGCCTCAGCTACCCTCACCCAGCTCTGCCAGCGCGCCCGCCTGCCGCACTTGTTCTGTCAGGGCAGAGGCCTGGGCTGGCCTTGGGGCTCCAGGGCCAGAGCCCCATCACCCAGGGACTCTGCGGGGAGACTGCCGGACAGGGGAGGGATGGCTGGGGCAGAGGCCCCAGTGGTGGCGTATATTATCAAGGGCAGGCATGACTGGGGCAGAATTCTCTGTACATAGGGTGTGTCACCTGGGGAAGGACATTCTGGGTCCTTGGCAGGGTGACTAGCAGACTGGCATGAAGGCCTAGGTGGGGCCTTATCTGAAGGGCTGGGGCACACTCTTCCAGTCGTGGGTAGAGCCATGAGCCCTTGCCCTTTGTCCTCAGCCAGTGTGTGTCTCCCACAGCAGCCACATGCCCCCAGATTGATGTCAGGAGCCACCTCTGCAAGCCTGGCTTACCACAGGGAGCCAGTCTCTGGGACAGCAGAGTGAGGGAGAGGCACTGGCTCCGTGGGACCCACTGTGCCTGGGGAGCATCCAGGAGGCTGGCTCTTTGAGGGCCTGGGGAACAGGAGAGCTAAGAAGGGGAGCACCTAGATTCAAGGACCCAGCCCCTAGGGGAGGGAAGCCTAAGGATCCTGTGAGGCATGAGTAGGGGGTGACCTAGGCCTGCCTTGTTGAGGGGCTGTCACTGTTTCTGTGGTGACTCAGTAGGACCAGGTCATTGGAGACCTGAAGAGAAGCTAGGAATCCAGGCTATTATGTGAACCCATCTCATTGTCACATGTAGAAAGTCTGTCTTAAGCCCCTGGTGAAACCAGACTTAGCCAGTCTGAGGCCAAATTGGAACCTGGCCTCCACTTTGCAGCCAGCGGGGGTCCAGGAACTTGAGGGAAGAACCCAGGAAGTGGAATCTGCAGAGAAGGAAGGAGGTGGGCAGGGAACCAGAGAGGAAGGACAGCAGGTGCGGGCGTCATCCTGGAAGCCCAAGGTCAAGCCCAGGACGGCCTCTTTAGACTAATGCTAAATGGACCCTGGAGAAGGGTTTGGGGCCCAGTTTCATATCTGGCCTGTGAGCAGCTCTGCCAGCACTCAAACTGTGGCCTTCAGCCAAGCACCTGCTGAGGATCTGCCCAGGGAGGAAGACCCTTGGGGGCGGCCCAGGGTCTCAGCCACACAGCTCTCCCAGCCTCCAGGCTGTCCCCCTCCCCAGGCCTGGACCTCAGCAATGATGGACACCCTCCTTGCCTCCTAGGAGGGTGCAGGGTCTGGAGAGGAGACAGACAGCTGCCGCACACATGCATGGTGACAGCAGACCGTTAACGGGCCTGATACCTGCCTATGCCCCTCTGATCCTGTCCCTTTTCCCTGAATACAGGGCACAAAGGTTGTGCCCCAGCTTGGCTCTTTAATCTTTTCCCAACCAAGAGGGAAGCAGGGGGAACTGTGGTTTGCGGGCCTCAGGGTGTCCTAATGACTCGCCTCCAGGGAGGGTTACACAGCCTCCAGGCCTCATTGCTGCTGTTCTTAACAATGTGGCCCTGAGGCAGGAAGGTATGGCAGGGGCTCCCAGGCTGGCCCCTCTCCTCACCTGAGCTGCCTCCCCAGCTCCCGAAGGTTATAGGGTGTCAGCCTGGCTTGGCAGTGCCCTGGCATGGGGCCTGGCCCATGGGGAAGCAGTCACAGAGTTCGACCCACAGTTGAGGGCAAGGCGGGTGGGGGAGCTGGCAGGCGGGGGAGGCTGCCCAGGGCCAGGGCCTGCAGTGTGCAGGGAAATGACAGAAGGGTTGGTGTAGGCGGGAGCCTGTGGGTCCCTTTACCTCCTGGTAAACAGGACCTGGGGGAGAGGGGAGGCCCCTAGGAAGGAAGCCAGGGTAAGGAGCAGGCTGTTTCCAGGGTGATTCAGGCAGCGTCACCCACCACTGCCCACCCAGCCTGTCCATCTGAGGCAGTCATGTGGGACAGAGAAAGCCAGGGTGGGGCTCGGGGATGGGCAGTCGCTGTAAGTAGGCAAGCGGGGATGGGCATCTAGGCAGGAGGGAGGCGCACCTGCAGGTGCAGGTGGCTCTGAACCCATTCCTGATGGCTCTGTAGGCCTCTGCACCTCCAGTCCCATCCCTGTGGGCAACTGCTGCCTACACCTCGGTGTTGCCCAGCAATGGGTGAGTGTTGGGGGTAGCCAGCTCTGCATTCAAGGGGTCAGGTTTCCAGGGTAACCCAGCCCCTGAGCCCAGCGTGGAGCCTGGCAGATCCGGTAATCTGACTCCCCCTTCCCTCCCTCCAGGGCCTGTCCAGAGGCTCCACTTGGCCTCAGCCTTAGCCCCAGAGAGGCAGGGTGTGGGAGGGCGGGGGCTAGCTTCTTGGGTAAGAGATGCCTCAGGGAAGATCCACTTGGCTCCCTGCTCCTTACACCTTTCCCTCCTGCCCAGGTCCACCCCTTGCTATTCCCTGGTCACTTGGCACTTCGACCTCCTGCCCCTGCTTTGGAAAGGGGTGTGTCCTGAGGTGACTGGACTTTGCCTGATCATGACCTTGATCATGCACAGGGCCGCTGGCGGGGTGAGGCCATCCCACGGAACTCTGGGGTCTGTGAACCCACCAAGGATCAAGGAATGGAAGAGCTATCTGTGGGTAGAGGGAGTTCTGTCAGGCTTCTTAAACTTGGAGACCTGGAAACATAAGGCCTTGCAGGCCACATAGGTTTTCAGAGGCTCGCCTGGCAGAGGCCTTGAGCGTACTTCCGCATGGACTGTGGGCACCGAGCCACCAGGAGGCTGTTGATCTCAGTCTTGCTCACTGGTCCCTGCCAGACTGGTGGTGCCTCTCTACTGTCGGGCAGCCCTACCTGTGTGCTGCCCCATCTGCCTACAGCCCTCATGCCTGGGCCCAGCTGGAGGTTCTGACATGGGTCCCCTGGGGGGGCAGGCGGACCCTTCAGGGTGCCCCAGGCACAGCACAGGTCTCCAGAGACACAGGCACCAGAGCATTCAGAGCTAGTCCCCTCGCTGCTGTTGACTGTCCTTGAGCAATGAAGTGAGGTGGGCTCCTGGAACCGCAGTAGCCACCCCCGGGGCCATTGTGAGGCTAACAGTCCAGGGCAAGGTGGGCAACCAGCGACTGCCACGAGGACAGTGAAGAACTAGCACCAGGACTTCGGGTATCCCATGCCCTGGAAGGAGCATGTGCTGCAAAAAGCAAGAGTGGGCTTTGGAGGCCAACGGACAGAGCGGCTTCGGTCTGAGGCTGTTCCAGCCCTTGCTTAGGATCCACCTACCTAGGTCTGGAAATTGTATTCCCACTTCAGACGCCTCCTCAAAGAATAAAATAACCCCGGGAAGAGGGCAAATTCCCCTGGTTTTCTCCCCACAAGCATTAGTGTCAGTGTAATTTCAGAGTGACCCCAGCTGTCTCACGTGTGGCAGGCACGAGAACAGATGTAAATGAGCTATTGCACAGATGGGCACCCAGATGTGTGCGCTGGCACTAAAGGGGCCCTAGGGCGGCTCTAGACTGCCCCCTCGTGACGGCTTGCGTACCACCTGCAGGCGACGTTGTGGACGTTTACCAGCGGGAGTTCCTGGCGCTGCGCGATCGGTTGCACGCAGCTGAGCAGGAGAGCCTCAAGCGCTCCAAGGAGCTCAACTTGGTGCTGGACGAGATCAAGAGGGCCGTGTCGGAAAGGCAGGCGCTGCGAGACGGAGACGGCAATCGCACCTGGGGCCGCCTAACCGGTGAGGTCTGGGGCGGGAGGGGGAAAAGGCGGGGGTGGGCTGGTTGTAGGCTCCCTGGTCTCAGTCTCGATCCTTCACGACCCACCCAGAGGACCCCCGATTGAAGCCGTGGAACGGCTCACACCGGCACGTGCTGCACCTGCCCACCGTCTTCCACCACCTGCCACACCTGCTGGCCAAGGAGAGCAGTCTGCAGCCCGCGGTGCGCGTGGGCCAGGGCCGCACGGGAGGTAGGGGCCTGGGCAGGGAGGAGCACGGGGTGGAGGGGCGGGTTCCCCCCCCGCGCCCTTCCCAGCGTCGCGCCTCCGTCCCCCATAGTGTCGGTGGTGATGGGCATCCCGAGCGTGCGGCGCGAGGTGCACTCGTACCTGACTGACACTCTGCACTCGCTCATCTCCGAGCTGAGCCCGCAGGAGAAGGAGGACTCGGTCATCGTGGTGCTGATCGCTGAGGCAAGTGAGCCGGGACGCGGGGTTGGGGGACATTCAGAGGAGCCCCCGCGGTATAGAACTGACAGCAGGAGCCATTCGGGATGAGAAAGCTGTCGGAGGTTCAGTTGCTAGTTTCGTTCGCAAATGTTCCGAGATAGAAAGTTGAAAAGAAGGGGCTTCCTGGCGCCCTCTACCCCTAGGCACACCCCTCGCCCCACCCTTGGCCGTGCCAGTCCCAAAGGGAAAGGGCTGTCTCTGGGCGTGCCCTTGCTCTGCTCTCAGCACAGCAGGCTAGCTACCTCCACGTGGAGGACATCTGAAGCCACGCCCCTTCTCCAAGCCCTTCCAGGCCTTCTGGGGCAGCGGCAGCACTAAGGGAGGGTGCTTGGTCTCCCCACAGACCGACTCACAGTACACTTCGGCAGTGACAGAGAACATCAAGGCCTTGTGAGTACTGGTGGCCCCAGAGAGCTGGTGCAGGAGGGCTCTCTGCGGGGCGTTGTGCTGGCAGGTTCCTGCCTCCCCAGAGGTAGCGCCTTTCCTATGGTGTGGGGAGGCAGGGACCTGATGGGGGAGGGGTGGGTGTGCAGAAGTGGCCCAGCCCCTGTGGAGCCCTGCTGCCTCACTTGGGGGGGGGGGGGGGGTGGGGGGGGGCTGGCACTGGGTGAGCCTCAAGAAAGAGCCAGGGTCTGCTGGGCTCGGCCCCCCTCAGCCCCTGGAGGCTGCATACGGACTGGGCCTTCCCGTCCCCCAGGTTCCCCACGGAGATCCATTCTGGGCTCCTGGAGGTCATCTCACCCTCCCCCCACTTCTACCCTGACTTCTCCCGCCTCCGAGAGTCCTTTGGGGACCCCAAGGAGAGAGTCAGGTACTAGCACTCCCCCATACCCCCAGCAGCCTGCCCGCCTGTGCTGAGAACCCATCTACTGGTATCTGATTCCAGGGCGTTCCCCTGCAGTGCCCTGAATTCTCCATGGGAGGACCTGTGCATGGGGGTGGGGGGACAGAAGCTGCCCACCCAGCGGCTTCTCTGTGGAGCCACACTGGAGGTGGAGGGGTCTGAGCTCCTCAGGCCCCACCCTGGCCCACAGGTGGAGGACCAAACAGAACCTCGATTACTGCTTCCTCATGATGTACGCACAGTCCAAAGGCATCTACTACGTGCAGGTCAGCCCCAAGCCCTGCGCTGCCCTGCCCTGCTATGGGTCTGGTCCATCTGGCCCTTCCTGAGCCCCAGCCCCTCTCTGCTCAACCTGCAGCTGGAGGATGACATCGTGGCCAAGCCCAACTACCTAAGCACCATGAAGAACTTCGCGCTGCAGCAGCCTTCAGAGGACTGGATGATCCTGGAGTTCTCCCAGCTGGGCTTCATTGGTGTGCCCCTCCCCTAACCTGACCGTGCCTTTCAGTCCCACCCACCTCTGCCATCCTCTCCCAGTCCCACGCTGAGTCCGCTATGAGCCTTTGCCCAGGTTGGGCCCTGCCTGGTGTGCGTGCAGCAGCCCCACCTGGCCTCTTCCCATTGCCTGTGCATCAGCCATATCTGGCCTCGCCACCTGTCTGCCCCCTTGTGCTCACACCTGCCTGAAGCCTGCCCCTGGGTTTGCTGTGGGGCTCTCGGGGGCACCCTGCAGGGAGAAAGGAAGTACGGCGGAGCAGCACTGCCCACTCAGGCCCCCTTCCTACCAGGCAAGATGTTCAAGTCGCTGGACCTCAGCCTGATTGTAGAGTTCATCCTCATGTTCTACCGGGACAAGCCCATTGACTGGCTCTTGGACCATATTCTGTGGGTGAAAGTCTGCAACCCCGAGAAGGATGCGGTGAGCAAGAGCTGGCGGGACTGGCAGGGGCAGGGCCAAGGGGCAGGCAGCCTCCAGCACGAACTGTCCCTGTCCTTATATCTGATCACATAAGAGAGGGCACTGTCAGCTGTGGGAGGGCCCTGGCAGCCTCCAGGAGAGGCCGTGTGGAGGAAGGAGGGCTCAACCGAGTCCTGGGGTGTCGCCCGCCCTCCACAGAAGCACTGTGACCGGCAGAAGGCCAACCTGCGGATCCGCTTCAAGCCGTCCCTCTTCCAGCATGTGGGCACTCACTCCTCGCTGGCTGGCAAGATCCAGAAACTGAAGGTGGGCTGCGCTGCACGCTCTCCCTATGCCGGGGTCAAGGTCGGGGCCCACGCCATCACTGCTGTCCCTCCTCTGCCGCAGGACAAGGACTTTGGAAAGCAGGCACTGCGGAAGGAGCATGTGAACCCGCCAGCAGAGGTGAGCACGAGCCTGAAGACATACCAGCACTTCACCCTGGAGAAAGCCTACCTGCGTGAGGACTTCTTCTGGGCCTTCACCCCTGCCGCGGGGGACTTCATCCGCTTCCGCTTCTTCCAACCCCTACGACTGGAGCGGTCAGTGCCAGCACCTGGGTCTGCGATGGGGGGGCGGGGCTGGGTGGCCCCCAGGTGTAGGCTCCATCAGCAAATTAACCTCACATTCCTCAGTGTCCTCATCTGAAGTGGGCCTCCTAACGGTAGCTACCTTGTGAGAACTAAGTCAGGCAGCCCTTAGGAGCTCAGCCATGTTTCACCTCACCATCCTCCCAGAGGAATGCCCTGATCTTGCACAGCCTGACAGCTGCCTGGGGGCCCCCCGGTGCAGGCCTGGCCTTTCTCTGCTGGGCGCTGGCTGCTGAACTGGAGTGCTGCCCCTGCAGCAGCTCACAGGCCTGCCTGGCCGCAGGTTTTTCTTCCGCAGTGGGAACATCGAGCACCCGGAGGACAAGCTCTTCAACACGTCTGTGGAGGTGCTGCCCTTTGACGTAAGTGCGGTAGGGTGTGGTGTGCATTGAGGTCGGGCCTCCCGCAGCCACCTGCTTCAGCCCTTGGTTCTGCCCCCAGAACCCTCAGTCGGACAAGGAGGCCCTGCAGGAGGGCCGCACCGCCACCCTCCGGTACCCTCGGAGCCCCGACGGCTACCTCCAGATTGGTGGGTAGGGGGCTGGGGGAGAGCGTGGGCTGGGGTTCGGGGACACCCTCTCAGCGCTGCCCTCCCCCAGGCTCCTTCTACAAGGGAGTGGCAGAGGGAGAGGTGGACCCAGCCTTCGGCCCTCTGGAAGCGCTGCGCCTCTCGATCCAGACGGACTCCCCTGTGTGGGTGATTCTGAGCGAGGTGAGGCCGGGCAGGGCCAGGCCAGGCGCGGGGAGCAGCCAGAGAGACCCTGGCGGAGCTCAGAGGCCCTGCTGACCCTGGGTCCGGCTCTTCCAGATCTTCCTGAAAAAGGCCGACTAAGCTGCGGGCTTCTGAGGGTACCCTGTGGCCAGCCCTGAAGCCCACGTTTCTGGGGATGTCGTCACTGCCGTCCCCGGAGGGCCAGATACGGCCCCGTCCGAAGGGTTCTGCCTGGCGCCGGGCTTGGGCCAGCCTGGGGTCCGCCGCTGGCCCGGAGGCCCTAGGAGCTGGTGCTGCCCCCGCCCGCCGGGCCGCGGAGGAGGCAGGCGGCCCCCACACTGTGCCTGAGGCCCGGAACCGTTCGCACCCGGCCTGCCCCAGTCAGGCCGTTTTAGAAGAGCTTTTTCTTGGGCGCCCGCTGTCTCTGGCGCGAACACTGGAATGCATATACTACTTTATGTGCTGTGTTTTTTATTCTTGGATACATTTGATTTTTTCACGTAAGTCCACGTATACTTCTATAAGAGCGTGACTTGTAATAAAGGGTTAATGAAGTGTGTGCCTCCGATGTGAACGCGCTGGACATCTCCCTCTGCCCCTGCGTCTGGCTTCATTTGTCTGGTCTGTGCCCCAACGTGCCAACTAAGCCCGGCACTGGGCCTCCCCACCCAGCAACAGCAGCGACCTTGCCCTGCTAAGTCAAGGAGCCAGCCAGGCCGGCAGGCGCAGTGCCACCTCGGCGCCACCTCACCCCCGTTCCTAAGATCAGGCCGCAAAGTCAGTAATTCACTGGTGAAAGCAGCTCAGAATCCGGGACCACAATACCCACAGCAAGACACCCGAATGCCTCCCCCATGTCCAAGGCCTGCAACGAGGCCTTCCCTTAGCTCCTCAAGCTGAAGGCATTTCCCAGCCTCCTTGTTCCCCTCCGTGTGTCTCAGCTTGGTCCTCATCCTGGGTCCCCGACACATTCCTTTGGCATGTTAGGGTCTCCCGCTCACCTCAGGGCCTTTGCACACACCGTTGCCCCTGCTTGGCAAGCTCTCCTTTCTCCGTTTCTCCTGCATACTCGGCTAAAAGTCACTTCTTTGTTTTGTGGGCCTCCCCTGGATCCCCAAGCCTTCTGGACATTTCCTTGAGACCACCTGTCACTGACTCACTACGTTCCCATGCTGCCCGCAGCTCTGCGGACCTGGGAGGGCTGCCCTGAACACCTACAGTTAACAAGGGGGATCCAGTGCTGACCAAAAGGCCCCTGCCCTCACCGGGGGAGAGATCCACAGGCTGTGGGTGGCGGCACTGCAGCTGCACAGCTAGGTGCTGGGCCCCGCGCCTGCAGGCTAGTGTCAGCTGTGAAGGCCAGGGAACGAGGGACTGGGTGGCTGTCAGGAGAGGGGAGGCCCCTGAGAAGGGGGACCGGTGAGGAGACCGCTGAGCGCTAGCTGGGTGAACCCCGGCAGGACTGGGCGGCCTTGTAACCCAAAGGCTGAGTAGGGAGTGGGGTGGGAGGTGAAGACCGGATCCAGTCCCGCCCCAGGGGGAGGTCCCGTTCCTTCGCAGCCCCTCCCACGCCGCCTCTAGGAAGCCCGCCGGGCTGCCCGGGCTTGGGCTGGGCTCCTCCAGGGTCCGTAGCCCGCGGTGCGCCACCCCCGCGGACCCAAAAAACGCAGCCCGGGTCTCGGTCACGAGAACTTTAATGATAGAGACAAGGATGCGGAGGCGAGCGCCGCTTCCCGGGGCAGCTGGAGGCTCCGGCTCTTCGTTCCCGGCTCCGCCGGCCCAGCGGCCTTGGTCTCAGGCCCACGGCAGCAACGTCCGCAGCCGTCCGAGGAGCGCGGCGCGCAGCGCGGCCGGGAGGAAGTGGGCGAGCAGGCCGAGCGCAGCCAGCGCCACCAGCAGCCAGAGGGCGCGCGCGCTCGCGTACAGGGGCGCCAGCCTGCGGGCGGCGGTCAGCGGGGCGGTGGCGCGAGAAGGCCCCGCTTCTTCCCCGCCCCAGCCCCGGCCCCGCGGGGACTTCCTCCGGCCGCCGCCAGGGCTCGCCCACCGAATTCCCAAAGGCGCTGGGCTCCGGCCCCTCCTCCGCCCCCAGCTTGGGCCCCGCTCCCAGGACCCCGCCCACCCGCGACCTTTCCCCGGCCCCGCCCCGCTGCCCGCCCGGCCCTCACCTGAGCTGCGCGGAGCGGGCGTAGCCCTGGAAGTAGCGGAGGCGCGCGAACAGGTAGACCAGGCCGCACAGCGCCGCCGCCCCTGCGAGAGGTGCGCGCGGACCTCGTGAGCGTGGTGCGCGGCCGCCAGGGGGTCCAGCGCGTGCGCCCCAGCCCCACACCCCACACCCCGACCTTCATGAAAGAAGATGCCGGCGACCCAGAGCGTGGCAAGGAACAGCGGGAAGTACTCGCTGCAGTTCACCCTGCGGTGGGCGGGTGGGATGAGCACGCCGGCCGGGCTGGTCCTGCGACCCGGACCCGCCCGGGGCTCGCTCCCCGTTCCCGCCCTCCCGCCGCGCCTCACTGGGCTCGGTAGACGCGCTCGAACTCGGGTGGGCCGGTGGTGAGCGGCGGCGACACGCGGAAGGCCCTGCGCGCCGAGATCACCTGCAGGGAGAAGTAGGCTGGGGGAGGAGGAGGAGCAGGAGTCAGGTCTGGACACCCGAAGCCCCGGCGATGGGAGTGGGAAGGATCCTTCACTTGGCCGTGTCCTCTCTTCCCTAAGGCGGAACAATTCCCCGCTCTCTGCTGAGTGAGCAGACCTCCCGTCTGACCCATCCCTGGCCTGCCCTGTGTCCCTGACATTCAGCGGGGGGGCAGGACTGAAGCCTGGGGCGCAGAGAGGCCCTGTCCCAACCTGTGAGTGTATGGAGGAGGGTGCGTGATTGAGGCACAGGGACACCTGCTCAGAGAGAGATCACCTGAGTCCTTGTTTCTGAATCATTTCACTCGCAAAACACAGGCAAATGCAGCTTTCAGGTCCCTGGCCAGCAAGTGCCTCGGGAGCCTGAGGGCAGAGCTGGCCGCATCCTGCCAGGTGCAAGGAAGCACACTCCCTGTAGCTAACAGTCCCTGGTCACCCACCTACCAGAGCCCACCAGCAGGGCCCTCTGACCCTGCCTCAGGCCAGGATCACTAAAGCCTGGGTCCCTGTGGCTCCAAACTTGTTTCTCTGTTCCTGCATTCTGGTCCCAGGCCTAAATCTGACAGACACCTTCTCTTCTGCTCCCAGGAGGTTGCAGCAGGGACTCTCCTAGCCTAACCCCAGGACCCCAGGGCTGGGGTAGTTGCAGAGGGTGGGCTGGCCCCAAAGTTTCTTTGTGAGCAGGAGCCCTTCCCTCGGCCAGGGGAGGCCACACACAGGCCAGTGCTGGCTGTGCAGTCCCTCCCGAGACCTCCCGTCTGACCATCTCCCCTTCAGTCCTGCAGCCCTGGCACCTTTGGTGCTGGGCACTCTGCAGACGGGTGTCACAGGGTGGCCATCCAGCTCAGTGTGGGTGCAGCTGGAGGTCAGGCTGGCCTGTCTGTTCAGCCTCGTCAGAGCCCCCTCCCCAGGCTGTGCCTTATCCTAGCCCACACACTGTGGGGCAGTGGTGTCTCTAAGTGGCTAGGATATCTGGCCCAGGAATGTGTCCTTTAGGGCCAGTCTGAGAAAGGCATTAAGCAGGCTCCTTTTAGGGGGCTGGAGGAAGGAGTCCCACCTCTGCCCTGCTCCACGTGGTCCCAGTATGGAGGTGCCTCCTTTGAAGCAGGGCCAGGGACTAGGGGCCGCTTGCTGGGATGCCCAGAGAGGGGACAGCTGGAAAGAGCAGGGCTCAGCTTCCCCAAGCCCATGGCTATCCCACCACTTGTTCTAGCACCCTTGCCACCCCCAAGTCCTACAGCTCTCACAGCCAGGTGTCCCCCCAGGTCCCTGAAAGTCCCCACCCTCCTCCAGCTTGGGCCTGGGCTGGAGTCCCTGCCTCTGCCCTCCACCTGGACCTAGGGGGCAGAGGGCAGGCTGTAGGGATCTGAGGCCCACCCTCTTCCTAGATAGGAGCCAGCCCACCTTGCAGCAGGACTCCCAGGAGGGTGACGGTGGCCAGTAGAGCTACCTCGTCCTTCATGGTGCCTTCGGCTGCGGTGGCACGGGCTGTGTGTAGAGGCGAGCTGGGGAACACTCAGCCCCGTCTGCTGCTCAGAGGTCGGCCCAGGAAAGGAAGAGCAGCCTCAGTGCTCTCCCCGCCCCAACTCAGTGGAGGGGGTGCGGGGGGCGGGGGGGTGTGACCATACCACACAGAGCCAGGGAGCCAGGCCAGGCCGGCAGGGAGGAAACCAAAGTCTGGACAGGGGAGAGAAGCCAGCTGGAAACTGCCTCGCCACTTCCTGCTTGTTCGTGCCGCTTCCTTGCCTAGTCCCATGTGGCAGAGCCCAAGCTGTCCATCTGGGTCAGCTCCAGCTGTGGGTGTGCCCTCTGCTGCATCACCCCACTTTCTCCAGGGCCTTGGAGACCCCCACGTTATGCTGGAGCCAGCTCCAGGCTCCTGGCTGACTCCCCCACCCACCTTATCTGTTCCCTGCCCCCATCCAGACTGTTCTTGGCAACCCCTGCTGCACCCTCCTCTGCGGAAGCCTTTCCCAGTGCCTTTGGCTTCCGAATGGAGTCCCAGCGCCCCCCAGCCACACTGGGCCCCACCACGCTCTTTCTCCTTCAGGAAACCTCATGCCTGCCAGCCTCAGTCGGTTGCAGGGGTTCCCTGCACAAGGGCCCCCTGGGTGGCGGGAGGGTCAACCCTTGTGGGCCATCCCTCTCTTGGGCCTCTCCTGGGGCTTCCACAACAGTCACCTGCCGTGACTTTCTGCCCTGCAGCCCTCTTGCCTCAGGGTAACAACCCTCCACAGCCTACCTAAGACAGCAACCCTCCCCACACTCAGGCCCTGTGGTCTGGACAGCGCTGACTCCTGCCCCTTCCAGGCCTGTGAGATGGACACTGAGCCGAGGCTGACTCAAGATGGTGAGACATAGTTCTGGAAACTTCCTTAGAACTACGGGACAGGAAACTCGGAGTGGGGAGGGGGACAGACCCCAGACAGGGCCAGGCAGAGGAAAGGCGGCACCTGAGGACTCCTGTCTGGAGCCCTGGGTGTCCCCCTTGCCCCGCCTGGAGCGCCCCCGGCCACCTCCCTCGCCCCGCCTGGAGCGCCCCCGGCCACCTCCCTCGCCCTGCCTGGAGCGCCCCCGGCCTCCCAGTCTAAGCAGTTTTGCCTAATGGCCACTTCCTCTTTTGACTTGAGTGAGTTTGCGGTGGCTTTTGGTCAGACGTGGCAAAGTCCAGACTGACCCAGAAGCATGGGCAGGAGCTGGGGGAGACCACACGCAGGTACAGTCCGTGCTGCAGGGGTCGGGCCGCATGGCTCTGCCCTCGCACCTGGTCCTTCCTTGCTGCCCCAAGGGTATCGCCTCTGCCCCCGTCCCCGTCCCCAGAAACCAGATATGCCCCAGCTGGGGGCTCTGTGTGCTCCTCCAGGGCAGGGGCCAGGGCTCAGGCCCGGCCCCTGCTTTAGACCAAGGTGTGACAGTCATCTTGGGGCTCAGTGATGGAAGAGTGCCTCCTAGATCCTGGGACACAGATGCAGTGCCAGGGAGCGGTGGTGGCTGCGTCCTCAGACTGCCCACTCAGCCTCCTTCCTCCCTGAAACCTGCCCCACGACCTGCCTGAAGGGTGGGATGCAGGCCACCACACGGGTTGACGGTGCCAGTGGGCTGTGCCCAGAGTGCCTGTGTGCACCATGCATACATATCTGCATGCCCCTTGGTCCGCTGTCACACAGCCACGTCTTTGTGCTTGTGGGTGTCCATGTGTCTTCCCGAGTCCAGGCCCTCCTGTCGGCCAAGCTCTCATTTCCTCCAAGGCCTGAGTGTCCTCCCTTTGGAGTTCATCCCCTCATTCCGCAGCAGGAGGCCAAAGCCTGACATCAGCAGCTTCTGAGGAAGTCCCTTGGCGGATATGCGGGGCAGGGACCTGGGTCTTGGCCCCAGGAGCCCTCCCCGGGTCTCTTGGTCCCCACCTCCCTCCCTCTGAGCCTATCTAGGCTATCCGGGCCCTGCCTGGGCTCAAGCCAGCTCAAGCTGACAGAAGGGCCAGCCAAGCCCCCACCCCTGCTCAGGCCACCCAGCTTCCATCTTCCTGTCTAGCTCTGGAGGCACCAGTATCAGGAGGGAAGCGAAAGCTCCTCCCTGAGCCTCCACAGAGCCCTAAGGAGCCTGTGATGCCCACCCACCTGGACCTCTGGGAGGCAGAAAGGCTGGCAGAACCATTGCCCAGAAAAGAAATCAGAACTTCTGTGGAGTGGATCATAAGCGGTGCATAACTCAGACCCTGAGCTTGAACAACACAGTTTATTTAGAAATCATTTTATATTTGAGACAGGATCGTGCTCTGTTGCCCAGGCTGGAGTGCAGTGGCTCAACATGCCTCACTGCATCCTGGAACTCCTGGGCTCAAGCAATCCTCCCACCTCAGCCTCCCAAGTAGCTGGGATCACAGGCTGTAATTTTTTCTTTCCCCCAGAGATGGACTTGCTATGTTGGTCAGGCTGGTGTCAAACTCCTGGACTCAAGTGATCCTCTGCCTCAGCCTCCCAAAGTGCTGGGATTACAGGCTTATTTTAGACTTACAAAAAAGTTGCAAAAATCTACAGTCTCGGCCAGGCGCGGTGGCTCACGCCTGTAATCCTAACACGAGGTCAGGAGATCGAGACCATCCTGGCTGACACGGTGAAACCCCATCTCTACAAAAAATACAAAACATTAGCCGGGTGTGATGGCAGGCGCCTGTAGTCCTAAGGAAGGAGACCACTACTACTCCTGCTGCCCTCCTCCCCCCCGCCACCTTGCCTAGTTCACAAGACAGGAGGAAAGACAGAAAGAAACAAAAGTAAGATAAATAGCCAGACAACCTTGGCACCACCGCCCGGCCCTAGGAGTTAAACAAAATAATAACATCAACCCCTGGCCTAAACTACTTGTGTTATCTGAAAATTCCAGACACTGTATGAAAAAAGCATCGTAAAACTTTCTGTTCTGTTAGCTGATGCATGTAGCCCCCAGTCACATTTCCCACACTTGCTTGATTTATCATGACCCTTTTACATGGATCCCTTAAAGTTGTAAGCCTTTAAAAAGGCCAAGTATTTCTTCTTCAGGGAGCTCGGCTCTTAAGACGCGAGTCTGCCGACGCTCCCGGCCAAATAAAAAACCTCTTCCTTCTTTAATCCGGTGTCTGAGGAGTTTTGTCTGCAGCTCGTCCTGCTACAGTCCCAGCTACTCGGGAGGCTGAGGCAGGAAAATGGCGTGAACCCGGGAGGCGGAACTTGCAGTGAGCCGAGATCACGGCGCTGCACTCCAGCCTGGATGACAGAGGGAGACTCTGTCTCAAAAAAAAAAAAAACAAAAACAAAAACATAGATAAAACATTTGTGAATCATACATATGATTTTTAAAAACCACTTTGTATTCGGAATATATACAAACTCTCAAAACTGGATAGTAAGAAGACAGTTTCCTGAGTAAATGTGTGCAGGGATCACTTGTGGCACAGCTGAGAACTGATTCAGTCTGGAAGTGGCCTGGGATTATGAGAGCCTGAGTCTTTACTGGAGCAGCTAGCCTGGCTTCTCTCTGCTTCTCTGTTCTTTTCTTTTTTTTCTTTTTTTTGAGACGGAGTCTCGCTCTGTCGCCCAGGCTGGAGTGCAGTGGCCGATCTCAGCTCACTGCAAGCTCCGCCTCCCGGGTTTACGCCATTCTCCTGCCTCAGCCTCCCGAGTAGCTGGGACTACAGGCGCCCGCCACCGCGCCCGGCCAGTTTTTTGTATTTTTTAGTAGAGACGGGGTTTCACCGTGTTAGCCAGGATGGTCTCGATCTCCTGACCTCGTGATCCGCCCGTCTCGGCCTCCCAAAGTGCTAGGATTACAGGCTTGAGCCACCGCGCCCGGCCTTCTCTGTTCTTTTCTTCTTTTTTTTTTTTTGAGACGGAGTCTTGCTCTGTCGCCCACACTGGAGTGCAGTGGCACGAACTCGGCTCACTGCAAGCTCCACCTCCCAGGTTCACACCATTCTCCTGCCTCAGCCTCCCAAGTAGCTGAGACTACAGGTGCCCACCACCACACCTGCCTAATTTTTTTGGTATTTTTTAGTAGAGATGGGGTTTCACCATGTTAGCCAGGATGGTCTTGATCTCCTGACCTTGTGATCCACCCACCTCGGCCTCCCAAATTGCTGGGATTACAGGCGTGAGCCACCGTGCCTGGCCTATTTATTTTATTTTTTTTGAGACAGAGTCTTACTCTGTTGCCCAGGCTGGAATGCAGTGGTGTGATCTCAGCTCACTGCAACCTCTGCCTCCCGGGTTCAAGCAATTCTCCTGCCTCAGCCTCCTGAGTAGCTGGAATTACAGGCGTGCACCAACATGCCCAGTGTATTAGTCCATTTTCACGCTGCTCATAAAGATATACCCAAGTCGGGGCAATTTACAAAAAAAGAGGTTTATTGGACTTATAGTCCCACATGGCTAGGGAGGCCTCACAATCATGGCAGAAGGCAAAGAGGAGCAAGTCACATCTTACGTGGATGGCAGCAGGCAAAGAGAGAGGAGCTTGTGCAGGGACACTCCCGTGGTTTTTTTTTGTTTTTTGTTTTTTGAGACAGAGTTTTGCTCTTGTTGCCCAGGCTGTAGTGCAGTGGTGCGATCTCAGCTCACGGCAACCTCTGCCTCCCAGGTTCAAGGGATTCTCCTGCCTCACCCTCCTGAGTAGCTGGGATTACAGGCGCCCGCCACCACACCCAGCTAATTTTTTGTACTTTTACAAAAAGTACAAAAAAATACAGCCTGCCCATGTTGGGGGCTGTGATCCACCTGCCTTGGCCTCGCAAAGTGCTGGGATTACAGGCGTGAACCGCTAAGCCTGGCCAATTTGATGGTTTTAAAAACCGGAGTTTCCCAGGCTGGGCCTGTCCTCACCTGAGGTCAGGAGTTCGAGACCAGTCTGCCCAACATGGTGAAACCCCGTCTCTACTAAAAATACACAAATTAGCTGGGCATGGTGGCATGCACCTGTAATACCAGCTACTCAGGAGGCTGAGACAGAATCACTTGAACCCAGAAGGTGGAGGTTGCAGTGAGCTGAGACCACGCCATTGTGCTCCAGCCTGGGCAAAAATTCAAGTTACTGCACTTTTGATCTCTTGCCACTAAGAAAGGCATATAGGCCTTGGTGGGTCTTTGGAGGTTTTGGATGCAACACAGTTCACACTTGGGACTGCTGCTTTGACTCCTGCCAGGATGCAGGGCCAGCGACCTCCTGCTTGGTTCACAAAATCGAGCACACCCCTGGTGCTAGAAAAAACTGTGGTACAGACAGAGCCAGGTGGTGTCTCTAGCAGAAGCCTCGTAAGAGAGTCACAGTGCATAACCTTATGATCCCAGATCAAGGCTGTGTGTTCCCCAGCAGGCAATGGACATTGTTCCAAAAACAAAACAAACAAAACTGGACGTTGGGACATTGGGGCACGAAGTGACTGTGTGGCCAGAGCAGTCTGCCACAGGAGCTGGTTCTGTTGGGCCCAAGAAGTCCAACAGTGGGGCAGGCCCAAGGCCTGGTGGTTCGTTAGTCTCCTTACTCAGTCCCTTGAGGAGACCAACACTGGTCTCTGTCACTGGCAGGCTGGATACTTGGGCACTTGGGTGGCAGATCTGGATTTGTCTTGGGGAGCCAGAGCCATGATGCTGGGATCCTGCTCAGCCCCACCCCGGCTTACTGCTCACGAGCCCACCTTGCGGGGCCCAGCACTCGGGGCCATGACAGAGTCTGGCTGGTGGTCACTGCAGCTGAAACTGGGACTCAACTTTGCTATGTTTGCAGCAGACTGGTGTCAGCTGCTAGGAACCATTTGTGTCTTGTTGGGCCCAGACTGGAAAATCAAATGAGCATCTATGGCCGGGCACAGTGGCTCACTCCTGTAATCCCAGCACTTTGGGAGGCCGAGGTGGGCGGATCCCCTGAGGTCAGGAGTTCAAGACCAGCCTGGTCAACATGGTGAAACCCCATTTCTACTAAAAATAGAAAAATTAGCTGGGCGTGGTGGTAGGCACCTGTAATCCCACCTACTTGGGAGGGTGGGGCAGGAGAATTGCTTGAACCCAGGGGGTGGAGGTTGCAGTGAGCCGAGATGGTGCCACTCTACTCCAGCCTGGGTGACAAGAGCGAAATTCCATCTCAAAAAAAAAAGGATCTATGAGGCAGACCACCATGCACCCGACCCACTGGGAAGCAAGGCTCCCTGTCATTTCCTCTCTGGGTCCTCCCCACTGTGGCAGCTCTTGCTTCCCAGGCCAACACCCAGTGTGAGGCTTCTGTCAACTATCAAGTGAGTCCTTTTTGATTACATGTCAAGGCCAAGGAAATGGCTGGGTGGGCCTGTGGACCCAGAGGTCCCACTGGGCGCTGGGCCTAGGCCAGGATTCCCTTTCTTCTTCTTTTTTTTTTTTTTTTTTTTTGAGATGGAGTTTTATTCTTGCTCCATCAGTGATAGCCAAAAATTGCTTATTGTCTTCGTAGTATTTGTTTCCATATTTTTCTTTCCCCACTAATGTGCCAACCTGCCCATCATTTGCCCTGAAAAAACTTCGTAACTAGCCGTGGAGGCAGCTGTAGCTGCTGACCTGCTGCAGGCTGTGCTTCAGACCTGCAGTCATTTGACCTCATCCTTCAGGCTGTGGTATTGGGGGAACCCGCCCCCGATAGTTAAGTGGGTTCTTTTGTATTTCCCTAAGCGTTGGCTGGTCTGAGAATTAAAGAGAAAGAGTACAAAAGAGAGAAATTTTAAAACTGGGTGTCCAGGGGAGACATCACATGTCAGCAGGTTCCATGATGCCCCCTGAGCTGCAAAACCAGCAAGTTTTTATTAGCGATTTTCAAAAGGGGAGGGAGTGGACGAATAGGGTGTGGGTCACAGAGATCACATGCTTCAAAGGCAATAAAATATCACAAAGCAAATGGAGGCAGGGCGAGATCACAGGACCACAGGACGGGGCAAAATTAAAATTGCTAATGAAGTTTTGGGCACGCCTTGCCATTGGTAACATCTTAT